ATCAATATTAGTCCAGCAAGCAAAACTGTACGTTACATTTCCCATCACAGTCTTGGCATTCCCTCAAACAAGTGATGCTTTAGAAATTACAGCTACTACCAAAGAAACTGGAGAGCGGGCTGCTGAGCTGGGCACCTGGCTGCTTTTCTCTCCGGTCCGGGGGCCTGAATGCGGGTAATTCAGCTAAAACCCCTGGGCTGGTCTGCTGACTTTTAAACATTCGGCCCAGCCATGTTTCTTTTTGTGTATGCTTGTACAGAAGCTAGAACAACGGTCCAACATCCAGACACTGCCACAGCATCGCAACGTAAATTGTAAGGGAGAGAACAGCAATCTCTACTGCTACCTTCAGAGCATGCATTTGCTCCCCAGTGGATTTAAAATTAGGAAGACCGAGACATGGCTTTAGTTCTGCAAGTATTTTTTTTAATTAAAAATGGAGTACTTCGGGGTACTTTGATCCAGCACATAAAAATCTTAAGTGAAGGGATTATCTGACATTCTTGAAGTGAAAACAAAGGTTTTCCTCTAAACACTCATCTGAGAAGCTGGCATTGGGTTATGCAAAGTTTACGGCATTGCTCTTCTATTCCCAGCGGTGCTGCTCTCCCACGGCTCAGCCCTAATGCTGCAAAGCCACAGACGTGGAATCAATGACCCCGACTCCTTCCTCTGCAGCTCCAAGTGCGGACAAACCTGAAGAGAGGCAGCGCTAGCTGCTGAGGAACTGAAACTCCACCAAGTACTTACCGAACGGATGCTAGCAGAGGCTGTGCTGGGCACCTGGCCTTGAGAGCCGACCGCTTACCGTGCTGGAAACGCCCCAACGTAAGCTACTGCACTGCGCGGTCAGGCCAGGAGCTGATTCCTGTGCGCAAAGAATAACAGCTTTTTATTTGAAGAAGTGTCAGAGGTTTTGTCTGGCTTCAGCCATTGCCCGAGCAAAGATGTAGCAAGGAGAACTGCTTGTATCTATGAAATTCTCGTTGCCTTCTCCTCCCTGTCCAAGAGGAACAACCTCCCCTGTCCTCCAGACTGACCTCCGTTACATTCTGAGAGAGGAGATTCGAAGGAAATACACGACATTCCACATGGAGATCCCAGGGAAAACACGTCGCATTCCTTGGCAATCCCAGCCAATGTTCCATATACACAGCGCACGGCGAACAATGCCAGC